AGGTATAATGAAGAATATAAAACAACAGGTCACCTACCTGGTTGTGTGTGGTTCAGTGAAGCTGCCTACATCAACTAAAGCCATTTTATGCAATTCAGTGCAGCTCTGATATGCTGAGGAACAACCCATTGGATAGCTATTGGCAATGGTGTCTTACAGTATCTTAGATCTTGTGATCTAAGCAGTCTCAACATTCCAGCAAGGTTGAAGAGGCTGCTATTGAAATATGGACATATTTCAGCCCATCCAAACACATGAACTCTTCCATTTGCTTCTATTACTGCAATGAACGCAAATAAGTATCAAATCAACAACTGGCATATGTAGAAAGAGAAATGATATAACAGGAGAACACTGACAGTAGAGCTAAAACTTTCTTGGCATAGACATAAAGTTAGCTGTCTAATGCAGCTGTGAGATAAGAAGTATCTATGAAAAAACCTGACCATTTGTCCGTTTACTTGATTAAGGGAGATGTGATAATAAGAAACCTAAATTGTGCTAAAAAGTAAATGATATTTACTTGTGCTGAGCCTATAAAATGTTTTTATATAAATTCTCTCATTTAATGTTCTCAATAATTCCATCATATAGATGTTAGTATTCTCATTTTATAGGTGAATAAAAGGAGGCTAAAGAATTTAATTTACTTAAGATCTCACAGACATAAATGAAGCTGGAATTTGAAAACCACAAAGTAAAAAAATAAAAAAAACCAGAAAGTCTACTTTATGAGACTGTTCTTCAGCGATATAAGTATACAAAGAGAGCCTACTCTTTTCCTTCTCTGTATGTTTCTTCACCAGAAAGCTATCTTCTTTAATAACTTTATTTTTATATTTACTTATTTATTTTTGTGGTACCTGTAGAGGCTGAAGAGGCAGATAATGAGTAAATCTATAGTTACAGTACATTTACAGTAGAACAGTCTTGCCCGATCAGGCTTCTCTAAACCATCATGAATAAGCACTTTGGCCTATGAAGCGTAAAGGTTAATATTATACCCATTAATATGGATTTGAGTATCTTTTTATGTACACAGTGGATTCTTGGAATTATAATAATTATGACCATTTTCTTAGAGGCTACTTTGGAATTGCAAAATACCTTCTTGGTTCTTTTCAGATGGTCAGTATTCCCTTAGTGGTCTTAATCATGCGAGGAACTTAGGATATAAATTTACAAAAGATAAGCTCTAATTTAAATCAGGTCTCAGCCCAAGACTGGAAGGTCTTTAAAGAATGTTCCCCTTTCTGTTACTGATATAGGGGAAATAAATGCAACTCCCAACCTGATAGATGTCAGCTATGCCAAGTTCATGTTCTCCAAAATTGAAGAATGAATTCTAAGGAACGACAGAGGTTAGGAGTAGGGACATTTTATTGAGAGATAGAGAGATAGTTCCTGAGAGACAGAAGGGGACCCAAAAGTGGGTTGCTAATGAGCCTATGCAGGGGCTACATGTAAAGTCATGTAGCAAGTGTACATGGAAAGAACAAGGATCTTTTTTTTTCCCTTAAATTCTTTTATTGGTACATTTTAGGTATACAATACATTTACATTTATCATTGGGTACTTGTACTTGTTCATGATATTGGTTCTCATTTTTTCCCCATTCCCTGTGCTCCCTTCACCCCCTCCACCCTTCCCTATTTACAGAGACTTTGTTACAAAGACTTTGTTTCCCTTCTTTCCTTTTCCCTTCCCCTTCCACTTCCCCTACCCCTTTGAACCTTTTCTTCCTATTTCAAATTATCAATTATTCATTTTAATCATTTTAATCCTTATTTACACTTTCAGTTTCTCACACCAGAGAAACTATTCGGTATTTACACGTGTGTCCTATTTATTTCACTTAAGAGTATGGCCTCAATATGCATCCATTTAGCTATGTCTCTAGTTTCTCATTCTTTATGGCTGAGTAGCACTCCATTTAAAAAAAAAAACACATCTTCTTTATCTAGTTTCCAGCTGATGGGCACTTGGGCTGCTTCCAAGCTTTAGCTATTACAAACTGTGCCGCTATGAACATGGGTGAGCATATATCGCTGAGGTATGATTCTTTTCATTCTTTTGGGAAGATATCCAGCAGAGGAATAGCTGGGTCAAATGGGATCTCTTGTCCTAGTTCTTTGAGGTATCTCCATACTGATTTCCACAGTGGTTGCACCAGTCTGTACTCCCACTAACAATGGAGAAGGGTTCCTTTCTCCCCACAACCCTGCCAACATTTGTTATTGGTTGATTTCTTGATAGCAGCCATTCTTTCTGGGGTGAGGTGGAATCTCAGCATTGTTTTCATCTGCATCTCTTGAATGACCAGTGATGCTGAGCATTTTTTCGTACGTTTATTTGCTGCTTTTACTTCTTTGTCTGAGAAATGTCTGTTCATTTCAGATGCCCATTTTTTAATTGGGTCTTTAAATTTGGGGGGGGCTCTGATATTTTTAAAGAACAAAGATCTTTTTAAGAAGAGATGAATCAGGAGGACCTGGTCATGCACTGGGGTGACTGATGTCTATCTAAACTTTATTGGACCAGATAATACCAATTATAGTATATTGCTTATCCCTTATGGAGGCATGTAGGCCTGGTCATTCTGTCTTTACCTTGAGGCTTGGCCTTCAAGGGATGTGCCTCCAGCCACAGTTGTAATGTGTTTTCATCCTCAGCACTGATTCCCTTGAGGGCCTCCCTCTAACTGCCTATATTTCTACATAACTTAGCTGTGTATAATATCACTGGGCTATGGCAATAAGAAATGCTGAATGTCTTGTTCTAGAAATAGAGGCCCTGTGTCTTTGGATTTGAGACCTAATAAATTATTACAAAGATATTACACACTGGGGTCTTTATTTCTTCATTTAACTATAATTGATAAAAACACTCTTTTGGATCTCCTTTGTCCTTACATCCATTAATATCTAACTACCTGCCTAACAACCAGAAATATTCAGGCATTGACATTCTATAAAATGGCATACCAAGACACATACTTCTTGCCCTAAAGATAGTTTCTTACACAGAATACTTTAAAATTTTCAGCATTCAATTTACAATCTATTCTTGATTTTATACCATTTTATAATATTTAAGGGTACACTTTTGTGAAGCAGAGAAACACTTAATCAAAAAATTAAAAATGGTGATTAGCTTACCAAAAGTAATGTAGTAGTCTTTTTGAAGGGCAAGCTACATTTAGAGAAAAAGTCTACATTTCCTTGAGTATGACAGATCACCATTATGATTTCTTTTTTTATAATTATTAGCACGTTTGCAGTGCATAATGTCACACAGTGGCACGTGTACATATCACATCTTAATACATTTTTCAGCTCTTTTCTGTCCCCTCACACCCCACTTCTTTCATGTCTTAATCCCTTCCCATTTGAGGAAGATTTATCTCCCTACTTTCTTTTTTTTTTTTTTTTTTTGTACCGGGGATTGAACTCGGGTCTTTGCTATCTCCCTACTTTCTATTATCTCTTTTTTTGGTCTTTATTTATATTTCATATAAGAGAAAACGAAGTGACATTTAAGTTTGTGTGTTTGATTTACTTCACTTAATATTATGGTCTAAGAACTAAAAAAAAAAAAATATTAACCCCCTTCAAATAAAAGACCCAGTCAAAAAACGCGCAAGTGAAATGAATAGGCACTTCACAGAAAAAGTACGAATAGCCAATAAATACATGAAGAAATGTTCAACATCGCTGGCCATTAGACAAACGCAAATTAAAACATCACTGAGATTCCATCTTATCCCATCATCAAGAAATCGCGTAACAAGTGGTAAAAAGGCTGAAGGGAAAAGTAACTCTCCTACATTGTTGGTGGGAATGTAAACTAGTACAAGCACTGTGGAAATCAGATTCCTCAAAAAACCAAAACTAGAAATTCCATTAGACCCAGCTATTCCTTTTCTAGGTGTTTTCCCAAAAGACTTAAGTATGTCATATTGGAGTGATACATACTACCTGTGCTTATAGCAACACAATTCATAATAGTTAAATCTTGGAAGGACCTATATGTCCATCAGCAGATAAATGGGTAACAAAAATGTGATATCTACACACAATGGAGTACTATTCTATTATGTCTACTTTAATACTTATTTTTTTTTTCCCAATTGGCAAATATACTGGGTCTCAGGTGGGGAAACCCAGATATTGTTCAGATTTATATTTGGGTCAAAGATTGTGAGCAATAACCTAGAAAACCTCAGCTGCTGATTTGAGTAATAACCATGTGGGAGAGGAGTATGGCTGTGGAGTAGTGGCAAACAGCTTATTTGCTTCACACAGCAGAGGAGCTCATACTTATTAATGGAGTAATATGTTGAGCCATGACTCAATGTGCCTAAGTAGGATTGCTGTCTCTACTTTCTAAACCTTCAGGATCAACACACACCGAATTTTGGGGTGTTGTTAGCTCTGCTAGCCCAAATCAAAATAAATCCAAAGATTCAGGGCTTAAATTTGTAGTAAGCTAAGCCCCTTTCCAAGCACTCTACTTCGTTGTATCCTGCTTAAATTCAAACTCTTAACAACCGGTAAACCTGGGATTCAAGAGGCCCAAGCAAGGACCTGAGTGCTGTGGGTGGCTCAGCGAGGACATTCTGAAAAACAGTGGAACACAGTAAGTCTGGCAGACAGGACTCATCCATTAAGAGCACCGGCTTTGCAGCTTTGGAAGTTAAGGATTGGTCTGGAATTCATTCACACAAGCCGCCGGGAGTCTTTGAAGTCAGTCCCCAAGGCACTGTCTAAAAGGAAACTCGCCCACGTTCCTGCTGGGAGACACCTACTCCACCTTTGCCACAGGTATCCCAAAGTCCTTGTGGTTTTCCCACAGCTCCATCTGCGCCACGGATCTATGCGGTTCCTCAGAGCATTCTCTTCCGCCCAAACCTTCAAGCCGGCCCTGGGGAAGCCTGCAGAGTGCAGCGAACCCTAAGCGGCGCAGACCGGAAGTGCATTCTGCCCGCCCCGCCTCTGCCCTCCGGAGCCGGAAGTTGGGCTTCCAGGGCCCGCGCGTCCCTTAGGCGGGCCGCCCCTCAAGCACAATGCTTTGTGGTACCCCAGGCTTCCTCAGGGCCTCCGTAGCGCCCGCCGCTGCCCTGGCTGCTGCCCTGGCTGCAGCCCTGTTCTCGTCGCTTGCGCACTGCTCGCTTTTGGAGCCGAGGGACCCGGTGACTTCAGTGCTCAGCCCCTATTTCGGCACCAAGACTCGCTACGAGGATGTCAACCCCAGGCTGCTGTCGGACCCTGAGGCGCCGCGGCGGGACCCGGAGCTGCTGGAGGGTACCTGCACCCCGGTGCAGCTGGTCGCCCTCATCCGCCACGGCACCCGCTACCCTACGGCCAAACAGATCAGCAAGCTGAGGCAGCTGCACGGGCTGCTGCAGGCCCGTGGGCCGGCGGATGGCAGGCCGGGCAGTGCGGGGTCTCGCGGCCCGGGTGCCGCGCTGACCGACTGGCCACTGTGGTACGCGGACTGGATGGATGGGCAGCTGGTGGAGAAGGGACGGCAGGATATGAGACAGCTGGCGCTGCGCCTGGCTTCACTCTTCCCGGCCCTCTTCACCCGCGAGAACTACGGCCGCCTGAGGCTGGTCACCAGCTCCAAGCACCGCTGCATGGACAGCGGCGCCGCCTTCCTGCAGGGGCTGTGGCAGCACTACTACCCTGGGCTGTCGCCGCCTGACGTCGCAGGTGATTGCGCCCGGGTCCACAACCCTGTCTTACCTCTTCCAGAACCTGGACTTCTCCAAGCCCAGCCTTTTCTCTCTTTCCTCCGTTCCCAATCCAACATCCTCCCAGCTATGTCTTTGCTGGGCACAGGATGTTGTGGAATTGGCCGTCTCTCTTCCTTAATATATATGTTCATTTAGTCATTTATCAGGTATGAATTTAGCACCTTCTACTTGTCAGGTGCTGTAGTAGATGCTGGTGATCCAGCAGGAAAGGGGGCAGATGAGATCGCTCCCATTTCCAAATTGAATTGCCCCCGCTGCGTCCCTGTCCATTTCGAACTCCCTCCCTGGCACTTTTTACAGTTGAGCACACTTTAAAATTTAAAAAAAAATTTTTAGATTGTACATATTTGATATTTATTGAAGGACAGACATTATTCCTTATCATCTTTTCCAGGTATTGGTTCTGGACTTTTAGGAAGCTACTCGGAAGCCTTTTATATGCCCTGCTTTTTCCCTTCATTTTGTTCTTGTATTTACTGTAGTTTCATGGTGGTTGTGGTCCATGGTCACACGCGATATCACTATACCTTTTCAAGTTCTAGAGCTCCAGTGGGATCCCTTTTATTTCACAAGTGAACAAGCTAAGTCCAATAGTATGCCTCAGTTGTCCTCTAGTTTAAGGACTAGTTAGGTAGGCCCAGAATTCAGTTCTTCTCTTTTTCCAGAATAATGCTTATTCCCTCAGAAAATGTTTTAATGGTCACATATAATGATAGCAAACACTCAACACCTATTGTATGCCAGGCATGCCTCACATTTACTTTACAAAAATCTTGCAGCTGCTCTTTGAATAGTTCTTTTCTCACAGATGGGGAAATTAAAATACAAAAATACCAAATAATTTTCTGATTTTCATACAGCTAGCTATGGACATGAGAAAATCTATTCAGACCTTTTCTTAACGATAATTTGTTCTATAACACATTTGATGAGAATATAGATATGTAAGAGTGTGCCCAGGAGTTGAACAGATGTTAATAGTTCCTTGTCAATTTCAAGGTTAGAAGAGAGAGGAACTTCATTTACTTGCACAGTCCAACTGAAAAACAGCATTAAAAGTAGTCTGGTTTGTCATCTCTTCCATAGCACTTAAACCATCTTCAAGGGATTTCTCAGTTGACTGTGTTGTCTTGTTACTGCTTTGGGCATAACTTGGTTGGCTAACTTGAGTTTAATCACTTGTTGACTTGTGTTTTTTAATTATAGCTAGACTTTTTCTATTAGCTTGGGCGAACATTTCTCATAAATCTCTTAAATTAACTGAAGGTCAAAAGCAGAACATATTTTAAAATAGCACAGCATATACTATATAGTATATACAGGGCCTCCTGGAATGAAAGAATTACGGTCCTTAGATTGCATTGTCATTTGCTGCAGAGTACAAAGACAGGGATCAAATCTGTTCAGGATAAAGCCAGGGATCAAAATAGTTCAGAATAAACTCCCCCGCACCCACCATTTTCAGTCTCAGAGATTAAATCCTTTGCCTAGCCACTTTGTCATCATCTGTAGACAATTGTTTTGCCTGTTGTGTACATCTGGGCTTTTGTGGGAGACTACTGAATTAGATTTTGTGTTTTTATAGAACATAACAATACCTTTGTTTATGTTTAAAGGGGAGCAGTAATAGATAATAAATAACAGGAGTTAACTATCTAGAGCCACATGAGAAATCCTATTTTGAGGGCATAGAAAAAGGCAACAAACTTCCCTTTTTTTCTTCTTAGTCATGATATTTTTTAACAACTGTAACTCAGTTGATAATTAAAGTGGGCAGAATTATCTGTATCAGGGAACATATTTATACATCCATCTGTATGTTTGCAAACACTTCCAAAGCAAAATGGTAGAACTATATTTTCATATTTTATGTACAGAAATGATACCTGGTCTTTTCATGATGAACTGTTGGAGAGCTGATGATTGAGATGTTTTGAATATGACTGAAAAAAATTTAAAAGCTACCCCAATAGTTGAAGCATGATTATGAATGCTTCTTCAATACATGAGTGTATAAGAAATAGTGTAACTTACTAAATTCTAAGTGAAAATTATTTGGAAGCTCAGTCGTCAGCTAAACAAAATCTGAAGCACTTAGCACAATGAAGCAAGCACAGTGAGACCTGAAGCAGTGTGTTTTGTGCTGTTGTCAGTAGTTTTTGTCCAAAGCATAATCTTTTGTAAAGTGATGCTGCTTTGGGAAAGTTAATGGAGAAACTAAAATACTCTTAGATTCTGGCTTAGAGTAGAGAAACAGATTCAGTCTATTCAATTCTTTCTTACTTTGTACCTACAAGCTTTGCTAATTTTTGGTTTGCTTTCTAAAATTTTCTGTGCCTGACAAACAGTAGAGGGGCCGAGGGTGTAGCTCAGTGGTGCCGCACCTGCCTGGCAAGTGCAAGGTCCTGAGTTTGATCGCTGGTACCAGAAAAAATAAATGTGGTTAAAAAAAAAAAAGAGAAGAAGCCTTTCTGACAGAAACTGTAGTTATGTAACACAGTTTTGCACTTTTTATGATTTTTCTAATTATTTTTGTTTACTATAAGAAAACATTTATTTCATTTATCTTTATTTCACTGTCTAGTATTGCTTTAGCACATTCTACTTACAGTGCTTTCTGGGTTTTTGGCCTTTTTAAACATATCCTTTCATGAATTATGATCATTATAAATGTGGGTTAGTTTTACCCTTTGTCTTTGTAATCAGTATGTGCTATTTCAGATGTGTCAATGCACAGGTTACTAGAGCTCCTTTTTCACAGTTGAAACAATTTTCACTAACTTGAAATTGTCATGTATGCTATGATTCACATATATGATTTACATATATAATTTCTTTCAGATATGGAATGTGGACCTCCAAGAGTTAATGACAAACTAATGAGGTTCTTTGATCATTGTGAGAAGTTTTTAACTGAAGTGGAAAGGAATGCTACAGCTCTTTATCATGTAGAAGCCTTCAAAACTGGACCAGAAATGCAGAACACTTTAAAAAAAGTTGCAGCTACTTTGGAAGTGCCAGTAAATGATTTAAATGCAGGTAATATATCTGTTATCTTTCATTTGAGCTTTACTTTAAATAATTTTGAACTGTGAAATTGAAAAATTAAAGGAACATGTAGTTATTCCCTTTAAAGGCCCACGACTAATCCCAGAACTCTTGGTAAGCTGAGGCAGGAGGATCACGAGTTTGAGCCCACCCTGAGCAACTTAAAAAGACCCTATCCTAAAATTAAACATAAATAAAAGGTCTGAGGCATAGTTCAAAGGCCTAGGTTCAATCCCTAGTACAACCAAAAAAAAAAAGCCTGCATTTGAATATACATTAAGAAAATAATATAATATATTGGGAAGGTAAAAAAAATTATATACACAATGCTTTATATTCTTTGAGTCTTATGTAAAATAATATACAAGATTCTTGGTGTATTTTGAAGTTTTTTTGAGGGTAAAGGTATAAAATCCTCAACTCTAAGCATTACTTATAAATAAAAATTGTCTTTTCTAAATTATTTCTTCATAAAGTGATGCAAATAGAAACAGTTCAATAGTAAATGTTAAAGTGTGAGTGTTAAATTTTAGAAAATGGAAAGTGAAGTCTTTTGAGGCTTTTATATAGAGAGATTCTAAGAAGATGAGTCGTCATATCTCTTTTAAATTATTGCACTGAGTGGGGTGACTGCAGTTTATCATCTAAACGGGTCACTTTTGAAAGTGAAAGAGAATACTACTAGTAGTTTTACTCATAAAAGTAGGAAGCAGGGCACCTTATCACCTAGAGGTGGGAAATTTAGAAAATAAGATTTTTTTTTGTTTTCTAAGAATTTATAATCTATAGAGCAGATGTTGACACATGTTAAAATCACACACACACAAACACACGCAAAGATTTTTATTATATTCATCAGTTTCCAAAAGACTGGAAATAGATGTTGATTGGGGACTTGATTACAATGTGTCAATTATAGAACCTGGATGTTTCTTTCTTTTCTTTTTTTTGGTACTGAAGATCGAACTTGGGACCTGGCCCTTGTGAGGCAGGCAGTGGAACCACTGAGCTAAATCCCTGGCCCTGGATGTTTCTTATAAGGAAACATCCTTTTATTAAAAAAAAAAAAAAAAAAAAATGAAGAAAACTATACTAGTATTTGAAATTGAGGTTTTTTTCTCTTTTCCCAAACTGGCTATATATTCAAGTCACCTATGGAGCTTTAAAAATTACTTATTTTATTGGGAAATAATTCAACTATGTAGATAAGGATAAAAGCTAACATAATGAACACTGTATACGTTCAACTTAGTTTTATCAAATTTTAACATTATGGTTCTGATAGTTGCTTTAAATAAATTGAAGTCTATTGGTCCTTCTCCTAGATCTTAGTCTTTTCCTTTGTTCCCTAGAGGCAACCATTGTTATAAATTGAGCATTTAAATCATCCCATGCCAGTTTATATGTTTCTGTACATAAGTAGGATATTATTTTGTGGATTTTTAAACTTTTAAGAATGGTATCAAAGTGTATATGAATTTAAAATTTGATTTTGTGTTTTTCATTTTATGTTTGTAATTGTAGTCCTATATTTTGTTTATTTATTTATTTTTATGATGCCAGGGACTGAACCCAGACCTTGAGCATGCTAGGAAAGAACTCTGTCACTGAACTATACATTCAGCCTAGTCTTACATTTTAAACTTACATACAGAATTTCATTATATATAGCCATTATTCTGTTAGTGGGTATTTATATTGTTGAAGAACTTTTTTTCAGTCTCTGAATGGGCAAGGGTTTTTTTTTGCCTTAGTAGTAGAATAACAGAGCAACTTCTTTTTGGAGACAATGTAAGCATAGTGGTTGAAATCATAGATTCTGGAATTTGACTGTATTTGCATTTTGACTCTACTTTCATGAACTGTGGTTTTGGGCAAATTCTTAATATCTATGCCAAAGTTTCCTTCTCTGTAAAATGGGTTAGGAATTATACTTGCTTCAGAGGATGATAGCGAAAATTATATGAGAGTAATTGATGCAAAACATTTAGCACAATACTTGGTACGGTAACTGTTCAGTAAAGGTTTTTGCTATTTAATCTTTCTTTCTAGCATCAGTTTATTTTTGGTCCCATTTTTTCTTGGGAAAGAAGAAAAGCAGCAAAATTAAAGAGAAATCAAAGTAATGGGAGCAACCCCTACAGTTGATTTCTTTTCTCTCCCTGGCATTAGATATCACGCACTTCTTGATTAAAGAACAGTGTTTTTATTAGGTACCAACAAAGGCTACTTTTTATAGCCTTCACACCCATTTCTTTATTTCTTCCTTCAATACAAATATATATATATGTAATTTAATTAGTGAATTAGAGACATAAAATTGGTAGATAATTTATTCTGAAATCTACTTTTGAAATTGCTTGAACAGCTGAGTTTGAAAAATTGATGCTATTACCAACCTTTCTCACTCCCTTTGGGTGTGATTTTCCTTTCTTCTTCTCTGGACTCTTTCACCTTTCTCCTGCTCCTTCACTTGCTCTGCTCTTTCTTTCCTGTCTGACTTTCTGGTTATAATATGAACTGTTGCATACTCAAGTTGGGGACTAAAACCTTTAAACTTTAGCTCCTTTTTTCTAGCCCTCTAAAATTAACAAAATCAAGTTTTGTTCAATATAGTAAGTCCTTGGGTTAACCTTTTTGTGGTTTGCCAGGCAAAGACACTCTTAATGAATGTTTAGTTTTAAAAGCTGAAAAAAGTTAACATTTACAGAAAAATGTTAGATTCATTGTACTGAAATCTATACCTCCTCATGATTTCTTCCTGATAGTTCTTTTTGATTGTATAGAGCAAGTCTTAGTTCTTTGATAGCTAGGAAAAAAGCTAGTCTCTTCCCCAAACTTTAACATATTCAGTTTTTTTCAGTTGTCTTACAAGTAGTATTCTACAGATACTTAGCTTTTGAAAAATTACCAAAACTAATAACACACAATATCTTACCTTTTTTTTTTTTTCAGATTTAATTCAGGTAGCTTTTTTTACCTGTTCATTTGACTTGGCAATCAGAGGTGTTAAATCCCCTTGGTGTGATGTTTTTGACATAGATGATGCAAAGGTATGTATTACTTTGGCAGGTTTTTCTTTTTCTTTTTTGGGGGTGGTATTAATAGGGCTTTTCTGAAAAGGAAACATAAACTACGTTGTGATTAACACCTAATTTTTCTTAAATAAAGACAGATTAGTGTTCAAATAGGTCTTACCTACTTGTAAATAGTTTGGGTTCATAAAACACTGGAAAACATTTTTTTTTTAATAGTGACTTGATATCTGGGTCTTCCCAGTTAAAAACCTGTTTAACTCAACATCAGCTTTTACTGCTGAAAGGGTTATGGAGTCAGTATAATTCAAATCATTCTTTCTATAGGAAGCCAAAGCTCAGAGAGAATAAATGATTTTCTAAAGACCTGTGTCTTTGGTACATATTTCAGGAGAAAATGAATTCTATTGCTATCTGCCTATCTCATTTTTTTATTTTATCCTTGTGTTAGTTTCTTTTCTCTTCTTGCTGAGACAAAATACCCAACGTCCAAAGATAAAGGGGGAAAGATTTATTTGGCTCACAGTTCATAGATGTTTTGGTCCATAATCAGCTGGCTCCAAGGCAGTGTGGCAGAGGGGCAACAGTTCATGGCAGCAAGACAGCAAAAGCAACTAGAGCTCTTAATAAAGTCTTTCTGCCCCCTTTATCTTATTCAGATTACTTAGGATGGGTAGCACTCACTCCCTTAATCATAAAAGCCTTGGGCCTAGCACCACCATGAATCAGTCACACACTCTAGATTCAGCCACCTCTGAAAAAGCATGAGGCTTTGGGGGAACATTTAAACACAAGACTTTCAGACTGGAAAGAAGACAGGCCTCTGGGGAGTTTAAGGGGAAGTCAGTTCTGGGGTCAATTCTAGGGTGTTGGGAGCCAGAGATGTGGGGAGAAAAGTGTTATTTTCTTAAGCATTGTAAATATGGATCATGCACGATTATAAACTTCTGAAACCTTAGATATCCCTTACATATAATTATACAGTCTTCAGTATTTCCCATGGAAATCAGTTTTCTTCAGAATTTAATCTCGTATTTTGGAAAGTATACTGTTTGCCAGATAGAGCAAGCTTTTAAGCTGAAAGTTGAAGGTAAACAAGTGATTATTTTGTTACTTAGAGCCTTATGTGATCAGCAGCAAATAACATGATTCTTGTGCCAATGCAGGGGCAGGGGCAGGGGCAGGGTTTCGTGGGTAAGTTGGAAGAAGGATAAAAGTTACTCTCAGTGGATGGTTGCTGTGGGATGCTGAACTCCCATAGTACACAGGTGTACTGTATTTCCCTTCTGTGCTCCTGAGTTACTCTTGATGGCTTATTTTTTCTCTGTCCCAAGTATCTAGTACCTTACTCATCTTCTCTGACTGGCCAAACCTTATCACTTCAGAAGCTCTTGGCCTGCTCTCTTTTGACATACCCAATACTTTGGGTGGCTATGCAATTTGTCATCTAAACTGAAACACTTTTGTGAAAGGAGCACTATTATGCCAATATAAGTATAAACTGACACTTACAGTCATCATTCATGTGTCAGAATACTCACCTTGTTCCCTAATCAGATTGCTTGGGGAGGGGGACATAATTGAAATGATTTTCAGTATTTTGTAAATGATAGGTATTGGCAAAGGAGGAATTTACCTTTGACAGAATATTACTTTAGTTGCAGGAATATTTAGGATGTGATTCATCTGGATGCCTGCCATGTGTCCTTTTCCCATTCTGAGTTCCATGTGGTCCTTTGCTTCTAGAGATTAACATCTCCTGGGTTAAGTACAAGCTGCTTTCCCTGCAGTGAAAGTACATTTCTTAACCACCCTCTTCTGTTTAAACTCTACTCACCTGCTTGTATTTCCCTCCCTTTCCCTTATTTAAGCCCCTTTCCTTTCAAACATTTTACTCTTGCTTTTTGTGCATCTTCTCTTTCTCTTCTGATAGGTAGTTTGATATGCTGTAAAACCCTGAAGTCAAGATTTGGGTTATAGTAAAATTTTCTGTGCTTTGATTCCACATGTGTTAAATGATGAAACTATTGGGTGACCCAGGAGCACTCCTATAACTCTTATACTGACTTGTCTTTTCCTTTTTTTAGGATTATTTTTTATCTCTGTATTACTTATGCATCCTTCCCTCCAATTTGTTTTGAAAAATTTTAAACTGACAAGTTGTAAGAACAATACAGTGAATATAGGAGTGCATTTACCAGATATTCACTTTTTTGGACACACTTGTTTTATCTCTGTGTATAATATATTAGTTTTTTATTGCTGCTACAACAAATTAGCCCAAACTTAGTGGCTCAACACAGCATAAACTTATTATCTTGCAGTCCTGGAGGTCAAAAATACAAAATGAGTATTGCAGGGTTCATCAAGGTATCGACAGTACTGTGCTCATTCAGAGACTCTAGGGGCAAATTTGTATCTTGCCTTTTCCAGACTGTAGGGGTTGCCTGTATTTTTGCATGATTCCAGCTTCTGCTTTCGTGATTACATCTCCAACTCTTACCTACATCTTATAAAGATTCTTGGAATTATGTTGGACTCACCTAGATAGTCCAGGATAATCTATCTCAAGTTCCATAAATTAGTCACATCTACAAGTGCTCTGTTATCATGATAGGATAGTCAGTGATTAGGATATGGACATCATGAAGGGACCATTTTATTCTGTTTACCACATATGTATGATCTTTATTTCACATATCAGGACACTTCACCCTTAAAAACTTGGTCATGCATCTGAATAAGAACATTCTCCTACATAATCATAATACACTATGCTTTGTATATAAAGAAATATGTAATATATAATTATCAAATACAGTTTTCAGTTTTTCGCATGTGTTTTAATAAATCTATTCTACCTTTTTTTTTTACAAGTCAGAATGTAATCAAGGCTAACTCATGGCATTTGGTTATCAATCTGTTTAGTCTTCTTTAATCTGGAAAAGTGCTACAGATTTTCTTTTTTCTTTTATACGTTGGCATTTCAGAGGTGTCTATACCAATGTTCGTTTATTTGTTTTGCAATATGTCTTTGTATGTACTTCATTTTTTTCTTATGATTAGATTCAGAGTAAAAATAATTTTTTTGGCAGTACTTGGGATTGAACCTAGGGTTTTCACTTTGAGCTATATCCCCACTCCTTTTTATTTTGCATTTTAATTTTGAGACAGGATCTAAGTCTCTAAGTTGCTGAGACTGTACTTGAATTTGGGATCTTCCTGCCTCTGCTTCCCAGAACGCTGGGATTACAGGCATTTGCTACCATACAAGTGTGTGCCACCACACCGGGCTCCAGATTAAACATTTTTGACAAGTATCCTCTTGTGAGTGATAAGTCCTCAGTGTATCAAATCAGAAGGAATGATATTATTGGTCACATTATTGGTGATGATTTTTTTTATTTGATTGAAGTGTTGCCTCCCAGATGTCTCTACTGTGGAGGTAACTTTTTCTTTGCTGTAAATAAAGGACTTGTTCAAATGACCATGACTTGAAAAACATCAATTAAATTTTTTATTTAAAAATACAAAGTTCTATTTGAATTTAGGTATTTTCTATAATTTTTTTCCAGCGATTTGATAAAAAATAATTTATACTTGCTTAGGACTTATACTGTGCAATAGGTTTACATATTGAAGTATTTACAGATTAAAATAATGTCTGGGTTTTGTTTGAAAATAATTTGATGGCAATAATAGGAGCACAACTGAAACTGGATTGACCAAATATTGATTATTGAAATTGGATTGTGATTAGTGACGGGTTCATGTACTGTTCTACATTTTTTATATGTTTGAAATTCTCCATTGAAATGTTTTAAGAGTGCTTGCTTTGGCAGCACTTACACTAAAATTGAAATGTTTTAAGAATTAAAAATGAACAGACAGGGCTGGGGATTTAGCTCAGTGGTTTCGCCGCCTGCTGTGCAAGCACAAGGACCTGAGTTCGATCCCTGGTACCAAAAAAAAAAAAATGAACAGACATTTATGAAATTCTGAGAATTATGGTGATTTATATAAGCCCTTGTGAAGTGCTGGACAATGTGTGCCTTGATTTAGCAAACATTTTGAGCACCTGTTCTATTCCAGATACTTACTTAGGACAAAAGATACTAATAAGATAGATCTACAGGGAGTGAAAGAGATTTTTATAAGTCTTTGTACCATAGTGGGATATCTATAAAAGAAGTATATCTAAGGTATAATGGTGTGCAATAGAGGAAGCTGGATTAGTGGCAATCACAAATTTTTACGAAGGAAATGCCACATGAGTGAGGTATTTTTCTGTAGGGTAGCCTGTTTGTCAACTTTGTATATACCTTCTGCTCTAAAAATAAGTGTATTTAGATTTTCTGCCACTTTTGGGATGAGTTTTGGTATTTAGTATTTTCCTATAAAAGTTACCCATGTCATCTAGATTTGCAGAGTTTGCCATATCTATCTCTTATGATTTAAAAAACTCATTTTCTTTTTGGATCTTTGATTCTATTGTTTTATTTTGTTGTTTCTGTTGGTATTGGATTGAACACAGGGCTTTTCTTTGAGGTTCATCTCCAGCCCTTTAAAAAAATTTTTAGAGACAGGATCTTGCTTAGTTGCCAGTTTTCCTAAGCTGGGCTCAAACTTGTGATCCTCCTCCCTTAGCCTCCCAGAGTACTGGGATTGGAAGCATGTGCCCCCATGCCTGCTGACTTTATAGTTATTTTTGTATATTGTATTAAGATTTTTGTGAGTCAGTTTGGGTAACTTACACTTTACTAGAAAAATCATCTGTTCTATTTATACTTTTAAGTCTTTCTGATATAATGTTTTAATAGTATATACAGGAGATTTAAAAAAAATCCTCAGTTATCTCCCTTTTCATTTATAATACTGTATTTGTTTTATTTCTGAATAGATTTAGCAGGTGTTTATTAATTACATTTATTTTAAATCCTTTATATTTATTTTGTTCCTTTTGGCCTATCCATACTCTTAAAATTATTGTGAATTACACTTAGTTTCTCTGGAAGTTTTGGCCTCCTCCCTACCAGGGTCTCATTGTTGCCCAGGTTGGTTTGGAACTCCTGATCCTCCTGCCTCAGCTTCCTGGGTACTGGGATCATATGGGTGGGTATACTACCACGCCTAGCTCTCTAGAAGTTTTTGTCATCTTAAAAATTTTTTTAAATTCCTGATCCACAGTAACTGTCTTTCTGTGCTGTAACGAATATTCTTCTGTATGTCTTTGTGTGTGTGTATCTTTGCTGTCTTCTTAATAACGTTTTAGAAGAGAGGGTGAGCATGTGCCCTTACCTCACTCTCCTGAACTGTCATGGCTGCTGGATTAATTGGCTGTGAAGACTGACTAACTTGCTCTTGCCCTCAAGCTTTGACATTTCCCTGATTCAAATTTGTTTTGCAACAGAAATCTCTGTGTGTCTTGGACATCAAGGCCAACTGTTTAAATGTATGATATTCAAATAGGAACTCTGAATGCTGAGATTCTACTGCATTTTGTGCAGAATGATAATTAAACAGTATCCTTTTTGAGAGTTATTACAAAATCAGGAAATCAGTTACAGTTGGGAATATTATTACAAATGATTTTTGAAATTTTTATTTTTAGGTATTAGAATATTTAAACGACCTCAAACAATATTGGAAAAGAAGCTATGGATACACCATTAACAGTAGATCCAGCTGTACCCTATTTCAGGATATCTTTCAGCACTTGGACAAAGCAGTTGAACAGCAGCAAAGGTAAAACTTTTTTTTTTTGGTACTAGGGATTGAACTTGGGACCTTGTGCTTGTGAGAAAGGTAAAACTTTTTAAAAATTTTGAAGTGCATTCTAAATTTGCTATTAATCTTCTGGAAAATATTTTATATTAGATGATTTTTAAAAACATGCCATACTTTAAAAATATTTAATATGTAATTGATACTGTCTATATGTTGGTTTTGCTTGGAATTATGCTCCTTATTGTCTTCTAAAACATGCTTTTTTTACTCCTCAGCATTGAGTTTATAATACTCATTATATTATTGCCTACATCTATAGTTAGTTTTCATTAAAATATTCAATAATATGAATATACTACAATTTATACCATCACCTCTTATCAGTGAATAGTTTCTGTTGTTTTCAGAAATAGCATATTCGTGAACTCTGTACATAGTTCCCGGTATGAATATGAATAATGTTTTTGAGAGCTACGCATAAAAAAGTCTTTGTTGACATTCATACTTTTCACATGTAAAAAAATAATAATTTTCTTGGGGCCAGGGGTATAGACCAGTGGTAGAGCATGAAGCCCTGGGTTAAATCATTAGCACCAAAAACAGATTGTTTTTCATGACATGAACATTTGATAGAAACCCAACCCCATTTTATCTGACAGATTCGCCTATAGAAAGACTTATCTGTTAACAGTTGGTGGTGTAAATCATGCTGAAAAAGAGACAGTAAAGGGATGTGAGGGCGATCTGGCTGCGACATCTGTCACCTCATTGATTGCCAGGGTTGATTCGGCTGATCTGGCTGGGTAAGCACAGGTGTCCCCTTCCTCCCTTACCTCTCCATGTGTGTCCCTCCTGAAGCTGTGAGCTCGGTTGAAGGAGGACCGTTTCCTCGGTCAAGGGTATATGAGTAGCTGCGCTCCCCTGCTAGAACCTCCAAACAAGCCCTCAAAGAGACAGTAAAGATTGGAGGGTGATATGTTCACTGTGTTTCCTGTACTAAGTTTTATTTATATAAGCATATTTTGTTTATGGTGAAGTGCAATAGCACACACCTGTAATCCCAGCTACTTGGGAGGTTGAGGCAGGAAGATTACAAGTTCAGTGCCAGTCTGGACAATTTCACAGGACCCTGTCTTAAAATAAGAGGTAAAAAGGACAAGATGTAGTTCATTGCTCAGGTAGAGGAACCCTCAGTTCAATCCCCTGTATCACAAAAATGAAAAGATATATGTTTTCTGTTTGTTTTTGTTTTGACATTTGTTTGTAGAATTTTTTTGGGCTTGATGAGAATTAAACCAGACAAAAGCAGATTGATTATTTAGTTTCTGCTACCAAAAACTTTTGCAGAATTTCATTGAAGAGAAATAACCTTCTTTGAGATAGAAGTTAACTTTTTTCCTACGTGAATTTATGAATGGTTTATGGCTCTTAAGACTTTACAAGATAACAGATCTTTCCTATTTGTTCATTGTTAGTTGTTTATTCCAGTGTTGAATGTGACGTATGATAAAATTGTGTCAGGAAACTTTTAAAATAACTTTTGTAAGACTTGCTATTATGATTCAAGTCTAGATTTAAAGCGTAATTTAAAAGTTTATCACTGGTGTTTGAAAATAACACTAGTTCGGTTCACAGAAAACTATAAAATATTACAGAAACAAATTTCAGCTGACCTCAAAAATCAAGAGATACACCATTTTTATGGATTAGAAGATTATAATAATCTATACATTGAATGCAATTCCTGTCAAAATCCTAATAAATTTCTTTGCAGAAATTGAGTTGCTAATTCCAAAATTTATGCAGAAATTTAAAGGATCTAGAAGAGATAAAACAGAGCTGGAGATTTAGCTCAGTGATTCCGCCACCTGCGCCACCTGTCCTGCTAGCGCAAGGACCCCAGTTCGATCCTTGGTACCAAAAAAAAAGACAATTAGAAGAGATAAAACAATTTTGAAAAAGAACGAAGGGACTTATACCTGACTTGAAACCTTTCTGGGAAGCTATAGTCACAGTCAAATAGACCAACAGCATAGAATAAAATTATGAAATAAACTTAGATATACAGTTGATCATCCATGTTCATGGGTTCCCTACCCATGGATTCAAGTAACTGTGGATCTAAAAATTTTAAAAGAAAATTGCATCTGTGCTGAACATGTATAGACATTTTTTTCTTGTCATTATTACCTACATAATATAGTATAACTATTTCCATTGTTTTGGTTATTATAAGTAATCTAGAGATAAAGTATATGGGAAGATAATGTAGGTTATATATGCAAATATTATACCATTTTATATAAAGTACTTGCTCATCCATTGAATTTTGGTATCTGTAGGGGTCCCTGGAACCAATCTCTCATGGACAGGTTGGAAGGAAATACATAGAAGGACATGGAAAGATGATTTTGTTTGGTAAACTGACTTCTAACAGAAGGTGCCAAGGCAGCAGTGGGGAAAGAGATAATTTTTTTTAACAGATGGTGCTGGAACAATTGGATAGATACCTCAGGGCTGGGGATTTAGCTCAGTGGCACCACACCTGCCTCGCAAGCACATGGTCCTAAGTTCCATCCCTGGTACCAAAAACAAAAACAAATATAGATACGTAGACCCATACTTCATACTGTATACAAAAATTGGTCATAGATTTAAATGTAAAATGTAAAGCCATAAAACTTCTGAAAGGAAATACAGGTCCAACAGACTAATTAGAAAAGCTAAAACTATAAAATTCTCAGAAGATGACCTAGGGATAAATATTCATGACCTTGAAGGTCAGGATTTCTTAGATAAAACACCAAAAGCACAATCCTTTAACAAAAATTGATAAAATGAATTTCATCAAAATTAAAAACCTATCACTTCAAAAGACAGCATTTGGAAAATGAGAATACAAACCACAGACCTAGAGAAAATATTTATAAAATATATGTGTGTGACTAAGGATTTGAATCCAGAATATACAGAGAATTATAGGTCACTAATAAGGAAACAACCCAATTTTTAAAAAGTACAGGAGTGCCATGGGTGTGGCTCAGTGGTGGAGTGCATTCTTAGCACGCATGAGGTCCTGGGTTCAGTCCCCAGCACCAGAAAAAAAAAGGTGCAAATGATTTGAATAGACTTCATGAAGAAGTATGGATGACAAATAAACACATGAAAAGATGCTTGCTGTCAGTAGGTAGTAAAGCCACAAAGAAATACCACCAATTTACTACCTAAATTGACTGAGATGAAGAATTGTCCTAGCCAGGGATGGTGGCACACCCCTGTAATTCCAGCTACTCAAGAAGTTGAGGCAGGGCTGGGGATTTAGGTCAGTGGCACCATGCCTGCCTCGCAAGCACAAGGTCCTGAGTTCAAACTCTGATGCAAAAAAAAAAAGAAGTTGAGGCAGGAGGATGGCAAGTTTGAGGCCAGCCTGGAAATCTTAGCAAGACCGTATCTCAAATAAAAATTAGAAAGGCTGGGAATATAGCTTAGTGGTAGAGGGCCTCTAGATTTGGTCCCCAGAAACCTTTCCCCTCAAAAAGTACTTTACTTTATAAAGCAGTTTTATGTTCACAGGAAAATTAAGTGGAAAGTGTAGTTTCCACGTACCATCTACCACCATCAACATCAAATAAGCTGTATGGTAGGATAATAAGATTTTAATAGAGTATTTTTATCTTTGTATGTTTCTGATTTATCAAATCATTAACCTTTTTATATAATTTAAAGGACCACTCGTGTTTGGACTTAGAGGTAGAGTATATGTGTGTGAGTGGATGTTGAGTGTGTGTATAGCCAATAATCTATCACCTTGTATGAGGAGACTTTCACTTTGAGTTACCAGGCTACGTTTTGCTTTCTTCACCCTTCCCACACCCACTTTGGAGTGGTATTATGTGTATAGGTTATCATTTTATATTTAGATTAATTCAGAGAGATTCCTTAATGGCACTAAAAATGTTTTCAGCACCATTTTAATAACAACTTTACTTGATGGAAAAATTGATGATTGCAAATAATATTGCTATGTGTTAATATTGTGGTTAAATATAACCAGCTCTCTAAATTCAGGATTCTTCATTAGGATCCTGACATTTATTTTCCTTCTTTAAACCAATAAATTTGTTGTTAAATTTAAATTGGGTTAAATTTAAAACCAGTAAATTTACTATTTAAACAAATTTAAGCAGTTATTCTTATTTGAGCAGCTATGTTTAGAGAAGCAGATTGAATTCATTGAAGAAATGATATCTTTGCATTTTTCTACTTTTCCTTCTCTCATTCTTTGTTAATATAGTTTTATCTTTTTAGATTGGAGAAATTGAAGTAGTCACTTATTGTTTTCTCAAAGATTTTTATTGCCCATTATAATTACTTGGTTCCTGAGATCTATTTTTTTCAGAAGCAAAATTAGTTGCTGTAAGTAATAAATATGTTTCTGTCATTACATCATTCTCAATGTTAATCCTTTTTCTTTTAATGGGCTCTTAATCTCAACTTTTTTGATATTTTCAGATTTTATAGTTGAATAAAAGTATGGTTTTTTTAAGGTCGTGTAGTTCTATATTTTAACATAAGATGGCAGCATTGAAATGAATATGTAGTGGAAACAGTGTATAAGGTAAGAGCTCTGTAAATGTGTAGCTGTTTTGATCCATTGTTTAACCCATTGTAACAGGAGGAATTTAGTCTTTTAAAGGTTTTAGAAATGCATGCAGATAGTAGGTCCTTTTGCTAACTCTGAAGTCATGGTTCTGTAGAATTTAATTGAGTATTCCAGGAATCTCTTTTAATGCTAATTATTGAAAGTACTGGCTAAAGTAAAAGTTTAGGTTGCTAGCTTGGCTATACTGTAAATTCAGATTCAAATATCTAACTACTTTTTGGACAGATAGTTTTTCGCTGTCACTAGGCAATTATAAAACAGTCATGGGCTCTGAGACTTTAATTCATTGCCCTCCCTTCAATACCTGGAACAGTATCTGGGATATAGTTTGTGCTCCCAATATGTAGTGATGAAA